TAACAGTGAAACAATTAATAGATGCAGAGTAGTTAGCTTATTTTTAAAACAATTCAAAATCTACTTACAGCCATACTCTTGAGAGCATTACTGCATTCTTCAAAAACTTATCAATAAAGTAGAAATTGAGGCAGATATCTGAATTCCTTTCTTAACTCTGAGGATGACTTTAATGACTACATGAAACTAGCTTGATGAAACTGCATGTTATTGCACATTTTAAAAACTAAATAATATTCAACTAATTCCAGTTCTCTTAACCTACACCAAGGAAAGGGGATAGTGGTAATACTGTTCTTAAAGTGGAAAAAAAACCCTCACAGTCACAATCTACTCCTTGTCACTTATTCTTTTATACAGCCTCAAGAAGCTTCACAAATCTTAGAATAAAATGATTAAAGAAATGACACAAGAGATCTTATAGATGGTGCAATTATAAAATGAAATGTTATTCAAATAGGTAGCAACCTAAAATGGTTTCTACATAACGCAACTCTCAAATTATTGCCTTATCATCATGGCCTAATTCTAATATCTCATGAACTGGCCACTTTATTTGGTCACTTCCTAATCGACACTATTTGTATTTGTGTCTAAAACTGAAAATCCCTATGGCTGGCAGAATAAGAATAAAAGCTCCTAATTCTAACATCTCATGAACTGGCCACTTTATTTGGTCACTTCCTAATTGACACTATTTGTATTTGTGTTTAAAACTGAAAATCCCTATGGCTGGCAGAATAATAAAAGCTCCTTTGGACAACACAGAGTCAAGCCTGATTTTTCCCCCTCTCTATTCCCTTTTTTCTCTACCTCCAGTTGTCCTTCCTATGACATCTTCTCTAAATAAATTTTTTTCCATATTTCAATAATTAGATAATGACATACCTAGTGATAATGGATATGCAGATAAGTCTGCCAATGAAACTACATTTTAATTCTTTACCATAGCACAACTTACAGTCAATTCTTACCATCACAAGTAGAGTCTATAAGTTGAACATTATGCAACTCAAGTTTTAAGTCCCACTAACTAGATCTACTATGGTGTGAAAAATACACTTTCAGACAGAATAAGATTACTTAAAACTTCAATACTTGTACCCAGCAGATTTTAGAGACCACTTCATTTTCTAAGACTAAATTGTATGCCTTTGTCATTCATTAAAACAAATATGTTTACATATACCTGATCCCAAGGAATTATTTACCCACAAGCATTATGTCTTGTTGATGTTTCATTACCAGCCTCCCCCTAAAATATCTGACAAGTCTTTTATTATGGTATGTATGCTGAAGATGAAAAATAAATCATTTTCTTCTACCTTTGTATTTTTAAAAGGGCTTTAAAGCGATAATAAAAATGAATCTCTTTGCGATAGTTTAAATGGCCTTTCTTTTAAAACTTCGAACTTCAAATAATCATTATATTAAAGTTAGTCTCTCACCTGCTATTTTTTGAGTAGCTGGATCCATCATTTTCGAGCTGATGCCCTAAATAGTTTGATTTATAATAGACATTTTCCAAAAAACTCATTCTGGGAACATTTTATTTCAGAATTATCTAATTAAGATCAACAAAGATGCTGTCATTTGAGGTGTTCTTTTATTAGATGGACCATGACAACTCAAAATTGCTCCAAAAGAATGCAGTGAACAAATGCACTAGAGGTGGGCAGTGTGTAGTAAACCAAAGGAGGCCATTTATAACACACAGCAATGGCTAAATAACCCCTGAAAACTAACTATACTAAGTAGTTTTGACTGGAGAAAAAGAACAAATACCCTTTAAAAATGAGATGAAAATATTCATTGTGATTTCCTGATAAGAGCTATCCCCTGGCCTGCCTTCATCTCATTACTTAACTGCATTAAATATTGCTTTTACACCTAAAAATTTGTTCAAGTACAGTCTAAACAACATGAAGATACTATACATAAACTATTTTTTAAAACTAACTTCTTAATCCCTATTGCAAGATATTTTAGATGCACACTTGCGGGTACTCAATATATTAACACTTATCAAATTAACTGATCAAGTTAACTATAACTATAATCACCATGATCGTTGTCAATTAATAGGTAATGATTATTGAAAAGCTAGTACCCTACACCTCCTTTTCAGGGGAGATATCTGGAAAAGAAGTGGCTGGACAAATTCTACTTGTAGCAAAACAAAGTGACAGGTATTACAAAGTGTCCACTAAAATTACTTGACAGCATTACTATTTGTAATAGGATTTTGCAAATTCACATTAAAGAATCTACATTACAAGAAAGAATTCTTTGGTCATGTTTAGAATCAAGACATGAAATAAGGGATCCTTACAATGTTTCTCTAACCCGGAAGCCCTTTACTTTAATGCATCCAATGAATATTTACTGTTCTCATATTTTAAATATCATTTATTGAAAATGAACAAATGCTATCATTTTCTGCTTAAAACACATTTTTCTCAATCATAAGAGTAAATTGAACATATAATTTTAAAAACTTTTTAAGGAAAAAGAACACAGTGATTGAGCACTGAGTGGGAATAGAGAAAATAAGTAAGCTTATTTGGCAGCTGATTTCACAGTACAAACCCCCTCAAGCAGAGTTCAAACTACAACTTCAATAAAGAGCTCCTACAATCCTTTTTACTAAGATATACTCATTAATTGTCTGCAAGTACCCAAAAGTGGTCTCATTTGAGGAAAGCAAGATCATTTGTTCAGGTACAATTCTATCAAGTAACAAAACTGGTATGGTGAAGAATTTTAACCCAGAGTATATACTGTAGGCTTCTCACATCTTCAGACATGCTGACACTTCATGTCAAAAAATTGTCATTACATCGCACTTTCTTGCCGCTGCCTCTGATCTTTTTTTTTATTATTGTTATTATTCTTAGAGAAATCTTTTGAAAAAAAAAAATAGAGGGTGCTTACCAAGTAGGAAAAACAAGTGCTAACAAAGTTTCTCAGTCATTTCTTTCCATTTCACTTTCCCTTTGTAGTTTTGAAAGCAAAAGTTAAAACAGGTATTATTCATTCCTTCCTGCCAGCTGCATAGTACTAGACAGCATGGTACACATCCCTGAGGTTGACTCTTCCTTTGGTGTATCATGAGTTGAATCCTTAATAAATCACGGTAACAGAAAATTTCTAATAGCAAATATCTTTAGGAAATGCTCATGTTTTGACTATATTTAATTTTAAAATCTTGGTTTCTATTGATGTGTTTTGGTAAAAGCTGACAAACTTGGTCTGAAATGAAAGAACTAAAAACTGAGGAAGAAAAAAAATGCAAAATAAGTTAATCATTATCATTTTAAGTGCCACCAGTTCTGTTTATATTCATGCACATGTGAATTGCTGAATCTCATTTGATCAACCCAATTAAACATTAAATAATTGCAGCCAATTATGCAAATATCAGCAACAATATTAATTTGTTGATCTTTTTGAGCAGATTAGCCTCACATGCTTCTAATGCTAGACTATCTTATGCCTTAAATGATCAATTAGTGTTACGATAACTAAGTCTTGAAGAATGGATAATTACCTAGTTATAATGTGCCACTCTTGCTGTATTAATCTACTGCAATTAAACAAATAGTGCACAAGGAAAAAAGATGTACAGATGTTTCTTTTAAATCTATTTAACGAGTTAGTGTTAAGGTCAATTTCCTGTCTTATTACTTAAACGAGAATGGCAGATTACATTCTCTGTCTTAGGTTTTTTCTTTTTTTTTTTAATGTATATCCTTAATCTTCACTAAGTCTGGTAGGAAGGGCTTAAAATGCTCTTAAGGTTTGATAAAAGAAATCATACAGACATAATGTCAAAACATTGTTCTCTAACTTTTGTATGTAATGGACATGTCTTACCATAATAAATTTAGCAATGCAAAGTATAAAATGCATTTATGGCAAACAAATGACTCCTATTTCTCATAGGAATGTAAGTCTCATTCATGTGCTGCTTAATAGGTTAAAATCACCTGGAAGTTTTTTTCTAGAATACTATATTAAAAGCAAGGTCACAGGATTTAGCCAAAGCAAATGCATACCCTTAAAATACTACTTGGTGAAGGAGTGTAGAGGACAGGTAAAGCACCTGAGGTCTGAAAAGAACAGACTCTCCCAAGACTTCAGATCAACAATTAAAAGCCCCCTAAAAGATGCTTCTACCATTCCTTTTCATCTTATACTTCCCTAATTTTCATTTTTACCATTCCTATCTAAAAAGACCCTATGGCCAAAAGTGTTGAAAAAGAATCAAAGCCCCATTTGCTATGTGCTGCTAAATGCCTTAAGGCAATTTTTCCAATGCATCAAATTTTTAGAATATTTTTTTCCTTGCTTTGAAAAGAGAATGAAATATGATCACCAAGATGAAAGTTATTAGTACAGAAGGAAACCAAAATATAACATTTGAGGGTTGACCTTCCAAGGGTAAATGTTTTCTATCAAAATTTTGACTTTCTCTTAGATAAATCAGGATACAATTTTAACTCAGAGCTCCTAAATGAGGAAAATACCATCTATAATTTCTCCCCCTGTACCCTAACCTTGTGCTCATCCAAACCCCATTCAGGAGAAAAGAGCACCTATAAAACCAAGAGTATAAAAACCACAGTATATCTCTCTGCTTTCTACTAAAAAACTAAATATAATTATTTATTTTGTATTTAACAGTTAACATATAACATTTGTCATTTTCATTTGGATGGTATATCACTTCTTTCTAGAGGCATAACTTCAGTTCCAAGACAGTCTTTACATATGAAATAATTCCTCCAAGAAACTATGCCTCTGAGTATCTCTAATGTCTTAGTAGACCATGGAAAATAAAGACAATATGAGGTAAACATACATAATGTCAGAATCAATTGCAAATTCTAATAAAGAGGTTTCATAATACAGAAACAAAGAAGGTTCACTTCTATAGAAGGTAAATATTCATTTATTCAATATCTACTGAGTATCTATTATGTGCCGGGCATTGGGAATGCAAAGATCTCTAAGGCACAAGACTCTCAGTGTTTAGTGGAGCCTAACAAGCAGCCAATCACAATATAATGTGGAAAGGGCAATGCTGGAAATGTGCATGGATCTTACTGATGCACAAGGAGATCTTAGAACTGATTGTGACATCAAGAAGGGAGAGATTTACCTTAAGAGGGACTTAAGGGACCTGCAAAGAAATGTGACATGAGGAAATTCAGTTTTTCAAAGTCCTGATTTAAAAAAACCTTCTGAGGATGAAAATGTGTCACAAGAAATGTTACCTATGAATTTTACTCAGATCAGCTTTTAAACACACACACTCATTTGGTTGAGGAGAATATAACCTACGATAAAGAATAAACAAACATTTCTGTATCTGAGTGTAGTACTAGAAGAGGCACTAATATTACTGAGGAAAATTCTATGCTATATGGCTTACATTATTATCTTTCTAAGGGAAGATAGGCTTCGACTACCACATTTACAAAACACCATTTGATGATTGCAATTTATTTTCTCTGGCACGAAGAAACAATCACCCTGGTAACGTTGATAATACAAACTACATTATGCACAGCTAAAAACAGGTAGACAAAGAATCTATCATAATTCAAATGTAACAGTCTATCCCAATAGCACACAGATAGTATCCTGTATTTTCCATTCAAGATATGATGATTGTCCAATCACTCTCTTCTCTTCCATACTACAAAAAGAACAAGAACATGTTTCAGTATAAAAGCTAACAGTGCTGTAGATTATAAACTTAATAATAAAAACGATGTTATACAAAAGATTCGTTTCTGTTTTGAATATTAAAAGCATGTTCACATTAAAAATAAGATTAGAGAGAAAAACCAAGTACCCAGAATGAATCACAAATTTTATAATTATTGAACTCAAATTTATAGTTAATGTAGGTCCCATATATATTTAAGTAAATGCTTTTCATCACTATTCTGTATTTAGTTTCTGGTCTCCAAATAACAGAACTTGAGTTTAACTATTGTCATCTTTATTCTAAGTGATGCTTAAAGTGTATTCCTCAGACCAGCAGCATCAGCAAGATGCTGGCAAGATGTTAGAAATGCAATTTCTCAAGCTTTACCTCGAATTTCCTAAATCAGAAACTCTGCAGATGAGTCCCAGCAATCTGTGCTTCAGCAACCATGTCAGGTGATTCTGACAGGAGCCAGTTTGAGAATCACTGCTCTAAAATCTTCCCTCTTGAGAGAATTTTATGTTTATGGACAAAAATATTGAATTGACAAGCCTGGTGGATCTTAATGGTGACTTTGTTTTCTAAATGAAAGTTGTTTGTGTTAGGTTAGCATCCCAAATTTCCTTATTCCTTCAAAAATGATGGAATTGCATCATAATCACAATTAGATTTGCATCAGCAGATAAGTTGCTGTAGCAAACCTAAATTTGAATACTTAAAACTAAATTAAATAAAACAAAGATATTCCAGATGTCAGAAACAGACAGCCAGTTCTACATTCATTCATTCATTCATTCACTCATTCAGCAAATATCTGTGTCTAAATGAGCTTTAGTCCTTTGAGCAAGTACTGCATGCCAGCACCACTATGCCAAGAGCTTTACACACGTACTGCCTCATTTATCCTCACAATAACTCTGGACAAAAGGTGCCATTATCAATCCCACTTTATGGATGAGGAAACTGACGTCTTAGGGAGATTAAATAACTTGCTTAAGGTTGTAGTTAGTAAAGGGTAGAGGCCAGACTCTAGCCAAGAACTCTCACACCAAATTCCATGCTCTGGACCACTGTCTAGACTCTGCTACACATGTTCAGTCATATGTAGAGGTGAACTTGGAGCAGACCTTCCCTACCCAGAGGAGCATGCCATTAAGTCTGCCACTATGCATTGCCTAAACCAGAGAGTGTCCCCTTTTCCCATGAACTGGCTCTTTAGTCTTAATATAACTTTCTGTTGAAATTAATACAAAACATCTGAATTTCTGAATTGTTAAGAACCTTAATGATCATTTAAAATGATCCTTATATTGTGATGAACCAAATAAGTGGGGCTCTGGGTTATACTTCTTTACTTCAGAACAATTCCGCTGTTATTGGTTTTGTCTATTGGGATTCCAGGAAAAATTTCTTTTGGAGAAAGTTTTGCTGCTGAAAAATCAAGTGTGAAGAGCAATGAACTTTTAAGCTGAGCTTCTTAATTTACATGTAGGGACGCTAAGGCTCTAGGACACCCATAATCACAAGCCCAGCTCTCTTGCCTCTGTTTGATGCCATTTCTCCTAAGTCACATTGTCCACATGCTGTGTTCTTCTTAAAGAGCTTTAAAGACCTCAGTGAGCAGACTCTAGAAAACTAGTGAAAATAACCAGGAGCCACAAATGAGTCTACCTACAACCTTCTGGTTTACATGAAGAGGAGAATGAAGGAAGCCCCATGACTGTAAGTGACCTGCTTAATCCACATCAGAAAGAGTCACCTAAAGAGTGTGGCCTCCCACTATCGACTCTGTTGATTCATGATGAATGCTGGATAAAACATTCCCAAAGTCTATCTGATTTATACATGGTGTCAACATGACTTAAGGTAAGAGCAAAATATGTGTTCTATTTCTTTTATTTGTATTTCCATTAACACATTAGACATTTTTGCCATTAATAATACTTGAATGTCAGCATATTGACATTTTAGCAGCTCTACAAAATTGTGATTCATGACCACTATAATTTCATACCGAATCTCATTGGTTAAAATAAATTTGCGTTCAATTAGTTGTTTTAGTTTTATACACAGTAAAAAATCAATTTTGGTTAAAATGACAGTCATAGGCCATATTACTTTGCAAACCTGCATAATATGTAATATGTTTTACTCCTCTCATCCTGAAATTTACACTTTTATGTAAAATCATAGCATTCTGAGATGTATCCGAGAGATATGATAATACAAGTAATCCATACATCTAGACCTGGGCCATTAGCAATCAAACTTTTCATTTGGATGATAAATCTTTCAATTTCATTTTTCAAGGTAAAATAATTCAAAGTGGAAATGACAGATTTTAGGAGAGATAGAAATTATATTCTTTCCTCAAGAGCAGATGTCCAGAGAAGGAGGGAAAAGAGAACACATGTCTGCATGGGCTCAGTGTTCATTATTCCATTGTCGGTCATTACAAAACCACAGCAGCAGACCCACACCTTCAACACTGGCAGGCCTGCTATAAGTCACACTTACTTGATTTTGTTCATTGGAATCAAAGATGGGGTTAAAGCAACATGGCAAATCACACTGAGCCTGTGAGATGGTACTTTGAACCTATGTGGAAAACTGTAATGTGCAGAATTTTCATTTTTTCACAAATTCCAGTTAGAACACTAAACCAAAACATGATTAAGTTCATTATTTCACATTCAACGTACATATGGCAAACATTTTTTCATAACCCTCGCTAAAATGTCTTTTACATTCAACAGAAAATTCTTAGCAACATAAAAGGACAATCTATGTGTCATGTACTTACTTTCTATAATGCCAATAAAAATATATTAAGTGCTGCCCACCAGGTAATAATTTTTCATTCTTATTCTAAATCCTATTCAATGGCCACGCAAAGCTCTGCAAAATCCCGTAACATGTGGAGAAGTGTGTCTTAGGGAACAAAGAGAGGCTGGAAAGTAGGTGGAGGGACTGAGTCATCAAGGCAATCTGCAAATGTTCACTTAGAATGCAAACAAAGAGAAAGACAGTTCAAGACGTCAGCACGGGAAAGGATGGGGCTCTAACATCTTAAGTAACTACTGCTCCTATCCCATTCAGGCTTTCCTTTTCCTAAACTATTAAGATGTCTACCTCTCGGTCTTTGCAATCACTACTCCCCACCTCCTGAAACCTCAATGGTAACACTGCTAGTTACTCAAACGTGCTACCCCTGATATTTAAGACCCGGGTTCCAGCTTTTGGCTAATCCTGACAGCAGTCTTAACGTGTATGTCACTTTGAAAAGTTCTGAATCAGGTTCTCTGAACATTTAAAAAAATAATAATATGACATTATTCAAGACCTTCCTCACATTTCTTCTCAGAATATATTTATATACAAGAGCAATACATTTTTGCTCTTTAGTATGTACTTGGTGCATCACTCACCCATTCATTCTTTTATTCATTCATTTATTCAGAAAATATTACCGAATATGTACTATAGCCAAGACCTTGCATAGAATATTAGTGTTGCAAAAAAAAAAAAAAAAACTTTAAAAAAACCACATTAAAAAAACCATAGAATAAAGACAGGTGTGTGACTAGAACATGATTTAAAGGCCATATGAGATAATCCCAGGCAATAGAGAAGCTGGAAAAAGAAGTAGCATTTAAGCGGCTGAATGTGTGTTTGTATTGGGTTTGCAAAGGAATGTTGCTCAAGAGAGATTTAAAAGGTTCCTAAAGGACATACGTGTTGAAGGACAACCAATACCTTATTAAATGGACAAACTGTAGAAGGAAAAAAGCAGCAGAGAGCAGGAGATAGTGAAGAACAGAGACCCCAAATGGCAGGAGCAAAGGTCAATATGATGTAACTGGAATGGCAAAGAGTAATGGGAGAGAAAAGAAAGATAGGCAACATGGAAAATGATTTCAAGTTTTACTTTGGTTAAGTATGAACACAGAACACAGAAATGTTTTTCTTTGTTGCTTAAAGAGAAAAAAGGAAGGGGCAAAACAGAAACTGTTATTTGAAATGTTCCCCTCCTAAGAGGTTTTTCTAGGGCAATCTCAGACCCAGGGAACTATACGAGTAATTATCCGAATAGGAGGCATACTTAACTTCAGAGATTCTTACTCATGTACAGAAGTACACAGGTTAAATCAAAGTCCAAACTGTGGTTAAAAAAGAATTTCCCCCCGAGGTCAATACTGGCAAGAGTTGTAAAGGTTTTTTGATTGTTGTTGCTCCCCCTCTTCTTCATTTTACTCGAGCACTTTGTAGGAAATATCCGTATTTCCATCTAATGTCAAAGAGACCAAATGTGAACCGTGATGCAATTCTATGCTTTTTCCTCAATAATTGCTTAAATTATTTTTCTTGGAAAGAAACAGATAACCTAGTAGCTTGGCTGACAGCATCAATTTGCCATCTTGTAAGAGAATAAATCTGAAACTTTGGGTTCCATGCCCACAAGCATAAAATCATTGAAGAGGAAAGATGTGGTCTCAGATTCTGCACGAACAGTCCTTTGTTACCTAATGATTTGGAGCAGAGTTGGTGCTTCTGGTTTGTGGCTGAATTCACAATCATTGTATTATCTCATGTTCTGTAACTCTATCTTTTTGTTTCTTTGTTCAGTATGGAACTCTGAACATATCATTAATTTTTAGTGTTATGTACATTATGCATTATATTTTACTACCCAAAGTAAAAAGATAAATTATTAACTTCTCCCTAGCCACAGGCACTAGGTTATATAGAGAACATATACAGGTAAGAAAATGTTTCTTCTCATTCTCTATTCTCTCTATGTATATTTATTTTGTTTTATTTTTTAAACTTTTTACATGATCTCACATTTAAATTGCATATTTATTTTGTCCTTCTATATCGGTGTGATTTGACTGCTCTAATTTTTTGTCTCTTTTTAAACTACAGTATCACCAGCATCTGGAACAGCCTCTGGCACACTGTGCCCAATACATAATTTTGTTGAATGAATAAATAAAAAACATTCAATTTTGTCACCTACATTCTTGGCTTCCATCATCATACTTTTAAAAATGTTCTTTCTGATGACTTTTGTGATGGCTTCTCATGTACCCCCAAATTACGTCTTTGGGCTTCTCTTTTACTCAAACTTTAGGGTTCTGATGCATTATTTTGTCATCATCTCGATGGTGATAATGTGCCTTTCTGCTTTTGCCTTCCTTAGCCAAAGCTTCATGGTTATGTTTGTTGAGCACATCTACTTAGATCTTTCTTTCGATTCAAATTTAATAGAATTTGATTTTCCCTTCAGCCCAGTTGACTACTTTTCCTTTTCTTTTAATCCTTTACAACCAAATCAAATCAGTTCAAAATTTTTTTATTTCATATAATCTCCAAGAAGTAACCCTGAGATTTCATTTTGTATATTAACTGCTATAGAATAAAATATTCTCTTCTATATAATGTGTTCCAGAAAATTTTCCAAATGGTATTCCTTTCTTATCACTGTAACCACACTTCCTCCTCTCTTAAAAATCTCTCGACTTCTGTTTTGGATAAAGCCTTTTATAATCTAGCCAATTATTTATTTTTGTTCTATTTATGTTTTTTATTTGAGCAACAACACTAATAACTTATTATTTTCATTAGATTTACTCAGATAACTCTAAAAAAGATATAAATACCTGAAATATCCATGCAGAAAGTTTTATTATATTTTTTCGAATTACTTCTAATTGTTTCTGTTTACAAAAGTAGAAAACAACTCTGAATAGAGTCTATGTCTTCAATATTAATTTAGGAATACTGAATAAAGGAATATTCTATATTCCTTCATCTAACAGAAAAATTCCTATAGAAAACATTTGTCGAAGAGTGGAAGATAGCTCATTGATTCAAAAAACCAATTATTCTTTCCTTTTATTAATATTTTTAGTTTTGCAAAAAAATTGTTAAATATTCGAAAATACCATTTTAACACTATCCAAGGACCTCAGTTCTCTGTACAGACCTGCTGCTTTCCCAATCAACTTTAAATCTTCTCTTAGTTTTAAGACCCAGCACCATCTGATGTCACCCAAACTATCAAACTTTATTTTGTGTTTCAATATAAATCACAGTTCCTCTTAGGTATTTTCACTGACTGGCAATGACGGGCTCAAAGAAATACTCCAAAAACTTTTTGAAGTGCTTACAAATTATAGAACAGTCTCTTGTTGACCCAGGATTGCTTGGTATTTGATATGCCTGCCTAGAAAGATGCTTAACTACCTTGTGAGACATTACTGTAGATTGTTGGTCCAAAAAAAAAAAAAAAAAAGTCAAAGTTAGTGGATAAAACAATAGGTAGGCACACCTTTTGACTCAACAATTACACTCTATGGCCATGCCACCCTGAACATGCCCAATCTCATCTGATCTCAGAAGCTAAGCAGGGTCAGGCCCGGTTAGTGGGAGATCACCTGGGAAGACCAGGTGCTGTAAACATTAAAAAAAAAAAAAGAATTACGATCTCAGGAATTTATCCTAAGGAAATCATCAGGGATGCACTGTTTATAATAATAAAAGAATTGCTAATGACAATGTTCAATAATAAGATTTCTTTAAAAATTATAGTACACTAATATAATAAAATTCAATTAAACTTTATACATGGAATTAAAATTATTTATTGATATAAAAAAGCAAATAATTTACTAAGTGAAAAAAGCAGGTAACAAATTAATACAATCCCATTGTGTTAGAAAATACATTTATCCAAAAATATATAAATGCTTACAAAATATTAAAAGTTGAGACATCGAAAATTAACAGTGGTTATATCTCTTGGTGTTGAAATCAGAGGTAATATTAGTTTTCTTCTACTTTCAAGTTTTTTCTTTTATAAAAGTATGTTCTATTTTGTAATGAGATTTTTTAAATATTGTCAAAATTTACATAGTTTTTAAATGTTAAGTAATTTGGAGTCTCTGACAATATTTTTTATTTTCTTCTTTTTTTTTTTAACATGTATCTTCTCCCTCGTTTCTGCTTTACTTACACCCACACATAGTATCAGGAACATGTTCCTTAAATTTAATTTGTTGACCCCAAATGCAGTATTTACTCTCTTCTCTCTATTGAAATATGATTTGGTTTTAAGTGCTGATTGAAATAAGATGACATTTTAACAGAAAGAAGCCCTTACCTGAATATTAGTCAATTTGTCCAAGATCCGGCTTGCAAGCTTAGGCCCATTCTCCATAGTTGGAATGTGTATAGTCTATGAAAGCAAGCCAGACACAATATAAATTGAGGACCTAGTTCATGTATACAGTGGCAAGTAAGACACTCAGCAATTCCACTGAAATAAGGAACGCACTATGATAACCTGATTAAATATGTTAGATTCTTATGCCAAAGCCTCTTTTCTATTCCAAATTTGAATAAAAACTAACTAGCCAATGATAAGTTGTTCACAGCCTATCAATTGATTTTAGGGCACAACTGGTTTATATGCCATTCTTCAGGATGATTTGAGGAACCAATGAAAAGCTAGGGATCTCTAAAATAGTAGCTAAACCTAAAAGAATACTACCTCTTCCAGCATTCCTAGAATCTACAAGGATGAATGATTGGCTTCCGCATTTAACCCTCTCAGCAGAAAATAAGAACTCAAAAATATTTTGCCACAAATTAAAGCAAGTCATTTCAGGGACATAAATTAAAACAAGTCTATGCCTTTACAAAAGGGGCTTCTTGACCTATGTCTGTTCCAAGCTAAAGCTCCAAGGGCCACAACCTCCACAATGTTGGATAGCATGGTTAAGTTCAGAGCTGAGAGAAATTTCATGACCCTAATTTATATTTCAGTCATACCCATTTATGCCTTGCTGGCTTGCAGGCCTTTAATAGTTTTATCGTAGTAGACAGTCCATGTTCTTATCTTTCTTATTATGCCCTTTAGGATAATAGGATAATTAGATGTACCTTTGGCTCTGAATGCCCTCTAAAAAGGACCATTAAAAATGTGTTAAACTTTATAAACTTATTATTTCTAGAGGTAAAATAAAAATTGAACTTAAAAATATCTGACCTAATGACAACCTTAGTTCATTAAAAAGTGGACTGATAATACATTACCTAGATACTACCTTAATAAAATATGAAACAGTAGCTTTATAATCAGCACAAGTACTGAATAATAATAGAATAATTATTCTATCTTGAAATAGTCTGTAGATGGAAATATGTCAGGAGCTATTCTCTAAAAGCAAGATCAAAAATCTCAAGCAATGAAGCAGCCATCATTATAAGCAGAAAAAAAAAAAAAATGACCCAACCAGCTGAGGAAAAATAATTATAATGTTGAATATTAAAACAATAGAATTTTTATTTAATATGAGTAATTTAAGCTAATTCACATTTTAAAAATAACACCCACATGACTTTAAATTATAAAGTTAGCTGGTGATGTTAATCACAAATATTGTAGCTTTGTTATAAAGTGGAAAGAAAAAAAAACCTGACCAAAAAATGGAAGTACAGTATATATAAAATCAGGCTAGTTTACTGGGAGTAGTAAATTTCTTTCAATTAAATGTTGAAATTCCTTCTGGACATTTTAGTAAATGTACCAGGTTTGCCAGATTAAAAAAAAAATTGAAAAGTGGTCTTGATGATGATGATGATGATGATGATAAATGTAGGAGTTGATCATTCAAATGAATTTCCCATTGCTATTTAGCATTCCTACTCCAATATTTTGGAAATACTTATGGAAACCAAAAATTGAGAGCTAACTACCTATAGAACCTTCCTTAGTGAGCTAGTAGAAAGAAATGATGGATGTCTATTGACACATCTTCAAATCCTAAATCGACAAAAGGCAGATATGATACTTGTCCAAAGACAGAACTGACCTCCCACGATGTTGGAGCTTACACAAAATCACTGGAAAATGAGAGTAAATAATTTATTAACACAGGGTCATCAGGACAAACTGCCCCATGCTTAGAAATGACAAGCAATGAAGAAACACTGTCTTACCTCACTTTTGTACAGTATATCAGAAACTGGGCAAACGATACAGGCTGTGCCAGAGCCGAACATCTCTCTCACTCGATTCTGCTCCAGGGCTGTTATCAAGTCATCCATGGTGAGATATCTCTCTGACACCTTAAATTCACCCTTTTTGGAATATAAAAAATAAAAAGTATATATTTTCAAGGAAAAGGCATGCAAAAAATTCCTGCAGTACTTATCTTTCTACTTTACATTCTGATCAAACTTAGATAATGGCAATCATCCTTAGAGGGAAAGCTGGAAAGAGCAACACCATCTTATTGGTAAACACACTGAGGTGCTAAGCAACATACTCCGAGGTCACAGCCTCTCTAAAAGAGATGATTGGAAAATAAAATATAAGATTATCACTAATGTGCAGTATATTTTAATAAATGCCTGTTTCTTTCTTTTTTTTTTTTTTGTCATGGCTAACGTCTAACAAATCGATGCACCCGAGTGTTATTTAACGTGTGCTCTACGCTGACAGTGTCTTAAACCCTATTTATCATAAAAGAGAATATATTATTATACTAATAATTATAGTTCCCATTTATTGAGCATCCATTGCATGCCAAGTTCTCCCATTTTTAAGGTGGATATTATCATCCCCATTTTACAAATGAGGAAATTAAGGGTCAAGGAAAAGTCACATAGCTAGTAAATGGCAGAAACTGGATTTGAACTCGGGTCTGATGTGACTTGCTCCAACTTTGGTTCTCTTTCCATTGTGTCTTATGGAGTAAAAACATAGATCGAGTTTAAATATCTGAAATATTTCATTAATTTAAAACATGACAAGTATATTTGGACTTTATTTGAGAAATTGCATTGTATATATTTTTTCTTCCTAAATTCACTGATCCAGTTGACTTTACAGCAATAATCCTCTTCTTTCCCCTTAGTATCACATTAGATTGAGTTTCATCATAGGATTATCGGTATAACCTCATCAATTTCTGCTGAACTACTGGAACATTTTATTTGCTCAAGGACAAGAAATGAAAAAAAAAAAATCTAATGCTTTTAAGTTATCTGTTAAAACCATCTGTTTAATACTCATTCCTTAATCTGTTTAATTCTCATTCTTTTATGTTAGTGGTTAAAACTCAAAGTTTGTCAACAGGCTATTTAAATTAAGAGGCAACAAAAGAATGAATAGATTTTTTAAATGAGAGAGTATTTTTTAAAACCTACAAATTCACAATAGATAAAAATGGAAATCACAGCCCTTGGCAAGATTCAAAACATTAGAAGAAGAATGCATCATGCTGTAAGTATATTTAGAAGGGTAGGAAAATATGCCTGCCTGCAATAGAAATATGGCTTTTTGCAAGTTTCAATTTATCTCAGCCCGCAATTGCAATTATGTTGCTCAAAGGTAAATAAATAAATTCCAGAAAATCAGCCAAGTTAACTGAAAACAAGCTGAGCTCTGTGTTCTGGAAAAGAAAAAAAAAAATCTTGTAAATAAACAGAATTGTTTTTCCTCTGTTCACCCTTACTTATCTTTGGACAATTTCCCCTGTCTGGCAAGTAATGGTAACCCCCCACATGCCTCTTGGCATTTATGTCTCACTGTTTTAAAATAGCTTTTAAAATAAATTACAGCTAAGGAGTCAAGAAAAAACTTCCTCCATAATAACCTATTTTTCATGCTAGCAAATCATTAGTGTGGGAAAGCATTTCCACTTGCAACTTGTCATCAAACCTTCTGTACTTGGTTGAATTTTTTCTTTAATAAAACAAAAATTACTGAGCTTTGAAAATATATCTTTCCAACTACAAACATATTTAGGACAGGGCAAGCTGTTTGAAATTATACCAACAGTTTGTAAATGTCATGCCCAATGTGCCAGCCAGCATGTGGCAGTTGGGTCTTGTCTACTTGAAGGTTTTGTAGAATTATTTATAGCACATTTCCTCTATTTCCAAAGTCTTTTCCAGAGAAACTGTGCTGGTATTCTCTCCTAGATAATGTGTGTGTTTTTAAACATTTGTCCCATTAGTACTATTGGACCACAGAATGCTCAAAGCCTTTTCATGTCCCTTGGACATCATTTTAACACATGGGTCACAAGTTCCATCCAAGAACTTTTGCCAGATAACCAACTCATTCAATATTTATCTTGAGCGTGTTATGTCATTTCCAATATCAAATAGTTTAACATGCTTTCCTGTGTCACATGAATCAGAAAGTCTACTGAAAACAATTTTACATTTGCTTGAGCATTTTGATTTTAAAATAAGCATGTATGTGAATTTGGGAGAATAGGGGGCAAGAAGAGGGGAAGAAGAAGGCAGCCAAACTAATAATGTTATGTCAGTAATTATGTCATTTAAGTTCTTTAATTTCTGCGACAAGGATGATTCCAGTGGAATAAATAGAGAAGGGGAAGAGCTACGAATCATTGCCATTTGGAAACAATACACTTAGACTTGAAAAGTTAAGAACTGGCTAAACAGAAGCACACAAAATATAGACCAGGGGAGTTGGTAAGAGGCACTTGATACAGAGCTCGAGAGTAGTACTAGAAAACTTCTTCACCAGGACAACTTGACAAACTGGTTTCTCTCTGCCCTCCCTACAAACAATACATATTTGACAGTCTTGCCAAGACAGTCCTTCTAGAAGACTTCTTTACACTCAAGTTAAGATTAAAGAATAGATGACATTGGTTGGAACTACAGGATATGATTTCAACACTAAGCTGGGCTTATTTTGATTACTTTTTGTCTCATGCTTATAAATGTCATTCATGTCAAAGGCACTCACCCACTTGCGTGCCAGGTCCAGAATGCTCTGCCTTGTCACTCCTGGAAGAATGATGCCATCTAGCGGAGGAGTTGCCAGTTCTTCTTCTGTCAATTAGAAATTGGAATATTTTCAAACTTTATATTAGCCATGCCTTATGTCAAGAGCCATTTTAAAAAACTGTTTCTTGCAACTTTTCTAGCAATAAACATGAATATAATGCTACTGTTCTGTATTGTCAAATTTCCCAAATCAATTCACACTTCAGGTAGATCTTTATTTTAAAAAGAGAAGAAAAAGAAAAAAGAAAAGAAAGACACTCATCTAATCATCTTCATTGTATCCTTAACCAGTAAAAATGAGATGGTTTTCCACTAACAAATGGTAAGAATTATAGAATACTGTTAAGAAAATTCTGAAGTCAAAATTTACTTCGGTGGATTAAAGCTGGTTAGTAATTAGAATAATGCAGATAGGCTCCTACTCAGGAACACCGGTCATCACCAGACCTTCTAAGAAAGCTGTGGAGGGCCCACCCCCAAGAAGCAGGCGCGCTCGTTTGGGGCAGTCACTGCTCCCACACTGCCCTTGGATAAGTCTCTCAATAGTAATTTTCAAACTGGTGGAGTCTCTACATCCTATATGGAGTTGCTAATGGCACCCTCTGAGATTAAAATGTAATGGGCTCAGGATAAGTTCAAGCATGCATGTGGCTACCAAAAAAGAAAGAAAAAAAGAAGTCCAAAAAACCAACCAAAACTCCACAAGTGACTCATAGAGAGCCAAGGCCGAGACACTGGTCTACTTGAAAATGACCTCAGGCATTCCTAACCACCATGAGGGTTAGCACGGTGGTCCATCTATAAGAGCCAGTGTCTGTCACCCACACACACTCTCCTTACAATAGGAAATCTCTGGTAATCAACATCCCCCTTACCTCCCCACCTCGGGCACCCAGGAATTGGAACCCAATGAGAAATTCAAACGTTAAATCATTGCTTTATAAAGATGTTGAACCTTGTAACAAATGATATGTGGCCCACCGTGTGTTTACAGAACTCGCAAAGTATGCTTGAAAGGTAGCAAAAGCTATGTAGCATCACACGGGTGTCTCTGAGCTCTCCCAAACTCTGTTATGCAGCTAAAAGGGGCTTTAGAAATAACCTAGTATAATCTATATATTATAGAAGAAACTGAGGTCCTAGAAAAATATGTGACTTGCAAGGCTGGTGGCATGGGGGACAATCAGGACCAGAGCTTAAGTGTCTCAGC